GAACCTTTTATGGTTGTTGGTAAATTTGATGAGGCAATTACTTGGTAGCTACTATGAGATGAATTTTTATTAATCGTTAGAAAATCATGGGTATATGAACTTCTAAAAATGTCATTGACCTTAAATTTGGAAAATTGGTTGATGTTGTATGAAGTAACTTTTTGTTGACATATGATGAATAAGGGTTTAAGAGGTTTGTATGGTTGTGCCTAACTTTGATGTAGAAAATACTTTGTTGCTAATTTGATATGATATTGTTGTTCATTATGAGAGAATATATGATATCTGAACCCTATCAATTTGTCCCTAATTCTAAATTCATTAAAATTTCGTTGCTATAGTATGATGATTCTTTTAGTTGACAAATGATAAAAAAAGGTGTAAGAACCTTTAATGGTTGTCCTGACTCTAGTGTTACAAATACGTGGTAGTGATTATGAGATAAATTTTTTATTCATCATGATAAAATTTAGGGTATATGAACCTTATAAAATTGTCCCTAACGCTAAATTCAAAAGAATGGTTATTGTATGATGAATTTTTGTTGTTGGCATATGATAAACATGGGGGTTAGAACCTTTTATGGTTATCCTTGACTCTGATGTTAGAACCCTTTATGGTTGTCAATAAATTTGATGATGCAAATACTTGGTGGCTACCATGAACCTATAATGTTGTCCTTGACCTTAAATTCAGAGAAATGGTTGTTATTATATATGATCAATGATGTAACTTTTTGTTGTCATCTAATACATAAAGGTCTAAGAATTTTAAATGGTTGTCCTTGACTCTGAAGTTGAAAATATTTTGTTGCTGATATGATTTGATGTTTTTGCTCATCGTGAGAAAATCTAGGGTATATGAACCCTATCAAGTTGTTCCTAATTCTAAATTCATAATAACATGGTTGTTATTTTATGATGATTCTTTTAATTGACAAATGATGAAAAAAGGTGTAAGAACCTTTAATTGTTGCCCCTAATGCAAATACATATTAACTGTTGACATATGATGAACAAGGGTATTAGAATCTTTTATGGTTATCCTTGACTCTGATGTTAGAACCTTTTATGGAAAATTGGTTGTTGTTGTATGAAGTAATTTTTTGTTGACATATGATGAATATGGGTGTAAGAATCTTGTATGGTTGTTCCTAACTCTGATGTTGAAAATGCTTGTTGCTAATTTGATATGATGTTTTTGTTCATTGGGAGAAAATATAGGATATCTGAACCCTATAAAGTAGTCCCTGATTCTAAATTCATTAAAATTCTTTGGCTATTGCATCATGATTCTGTTAATCTACAAATGATGAAAAAAAAAGGTTTGTCCCTGACTCTAATGTTGCAAATACGTGGTAGCGAGAGAAAAATTTTATTCATCATGATAAAATTTAGGGTATATGAACCTTATAAAATTGTCCCTAACCCTAAATTCAAAAAAATGGTTATTGTATGATGAATTTTTGTTTTTGGCATATGATGAACAAGGGGGTTAAAACCTTTTATGGTTATCCTTGACTCTGATGTTAGAACCCTTTATGGTTGTCAATAAATTTAATATTTACCTATGAAGCTGATGTGGCAACTTTCTTGCTCAATGGTATCAAAATACCTGTTGAAGTTTTTTTAGGATAAGTAGCACTACAGTTGTTTAATGTACTTTATTGATTATGTCTTGTTTGGCGATTATTGGTGTTAATTTGGAAAAAACTAATCATAATTTATATTTTGGAGTTTGTATCATCAAAACTTTTTGTATTAAACCTTGCTAGGTAAATGTTTTCTGATCTTGATATTATACTTTTAACTCTGAAAGAACAATGCAGTAATATACTTTACTATTTTCTTTACATCTTGTCTTTTCTATGTTTCTTTCTTTGTTTTGGGGTTGAGCTGGATAGGGGGTTTACGCTCGTCAAGTTGTTTTTGCTTTGTATATTAGAACTGGGTAGTCACATAAATGTAATTTAAATAAAGGATCAAATGATTTTAACGATAATTTATTTGTCTCTTGTGTGGTACAAAATACTCCTCTTAGTTTGTTCTTTTTGCTGTGCTGATGGCAGTTTTTGAGGCATATATTTGAGGTATACACATAGATTGACTTTACTTGAATGTTTTGGGTTTATGTGGTTTTGGTAGGACAATATCTTTTGCTTTTGAACAATTTTCGTCTTTTATAATAAATAAATAAATAAAAATATTACGACAAAGAATGAAGAATGTTAAATATATAAGCTTGCTGAAAATAGAGAAAGGAAAACAACAAATTTAGATAAAGTAAAATGTATTAAGATATGCAAGAGTGTTGGGAGAATTATTCTTCACATGGGGCACATTTTGGGTGCCCTTCTAGTAGTTCAAGATTGTGTGTTTACTTTCTTCAGTATGTCGTGATGATACAATGGGGATATTTGTTGAATTCGTAAAGCTTGTCATCTTGAAGTTCTAGTACAAATTTTGTTTATTTCTTGCAGATTGTTTTTCCATACATCCTGAAACTGACCTTGTTCTTGGGGATATTTGATGAAGATTTTCGCAATCTCTCCACTTGGCAAGCGGACCAAGTTTCGATGTAGTATTTAAGTATCGTCCTCAGGGATTTGAGAATTTAGTAATTCTTACTCTAATGATTAATATAGAGATGTTGATATGATTGGAAGTGAGCTAATGTGAGGCAAAATTAAAACGGTAATGTAAAAGTTATAAGAACAATTATATGAAACAAGGATTGGACCCTAGAGCACTTGCTAACTCCTAAATTTCCTTAAAATAAATATGATTTCATCTTCATGACTTCCACGTTCATTTAGTAATTCAACAAGATCCCTCAAAATTGAATCCTAAAGTAATTAATCTAAAACATGATTCCTCTATGTTTTATGATTAACACTTTGCATTAAGAGCAATGACTTGAACAAGGTGACTAAACAAATCAAGTCTATTCCTAGAGCAAGAGATGTTTAGGTGCAAGATTCAGTTCGGGTTTTCAAAAA